TGCATGGAGAGTTTGTCTTCATGTAGACGTGGACTTTCAGGGTAGGGTGGGATATCCCCTCCATTTTGGCCTCAACTTGAGAGCTTTTTTTGAGCTTGGGAGATGATTTCAGAGAAAACCAGTGGCAACATCGTGTTCCTCGTGAACTTTTATACAAGAATCAACAGTCAAATTGCAAATGCCTCGCACATGTAACATCTCCATTGGGCCAAAATGCACCGATATCAATACTTCATATGTTACTTGGTTCCTCGAAAATTCTCCTCTTGGACTTAGCCTAAAAGTGTGGACACTTTTTAGCCTCCGGCGAAACCTAGAGTCTATACGGCTTCGCCGCACGACTAAAAAGAAAGCCTGTCACCTTCCAGCCACAGTATCACAAACGCCATTTTTGCTAACTTGTCCTCAAACTTTCCAAACATGTCTGATTTTTTACAGAAAAACTGATGAGCAGGATCACTTGAAAATTTGACCTGAATATTTTTAATTTGTCATCAAATTACTCCCTTGAATTTTTACAGAAATAGGTGGAGAAGTTTGAAGAGCAAAAGTTGGAACTATATAGGCAACATAGCGTAAATGGCTCATGTGATACTTTTGGCCAGAAGACCAGATCATTAACTAGATGATAAAATTTATCTGATTTTGTTGAATGCAAATGTTTTTTTAGAGACTGCAGCATATCCTCTAGTTAAGTTGATTTCCTGTTAAAAAAGGGTAAATTTTGCAGTCAATTGCAATAATTAGAGGGAGAAAGGTGCTTTCAGATACATACTTGGAAAAATTGTTGCTTGTGTGCAGCTCAAGTGAAAAAAGAAGAAGTGAATGAGCCGCCGGAATTCGCAGGGTATTCACTAAAAACGGTTTTGTAGTTTCCAACAAAGACCTAAAAAAGAAGAGAAAATGACATTAAACATTTAAATGCTTGAGTGCAGCCAATTTTCCAACCAATAAGAGCAAGTAGTAAAAGTCAGAGGTACCTGGTTGGAAAAATATAAGTAACTGTGTTTTAATTACCCGATTTGTTTTATTTTCTTATGAAGGTTCTTGAATGACCTTTTACTTGAGTGACAGGTCGTACAACTGGTTGGTAGTTGTTTCTTGGTGCTAATAAAACTTTCTGTTAGGTAATATTCATCCTAATTTCAGTGGAGAACATTTAAGGTGTGTCCAGGTTTGCGTCAGAAATATATTTCAATTGTTTTCAGGACTACTTTCAAACCCTTGTTGTTTTTGACAGAGAGTTAAGATTACAACTAAGAATTTTTCTTTCGAATTCTGCAAAAAAGATTTGTAGTAGGTACCCCTGTTTATGATTGCTGAGTCAACTTATTGATTTACTTACATGAAACAAAGCAACTGGTGTCTAGTGCTAACAGGGTATTTTGCGCTGAAACCTTCAGCGTTAATATCCTCTATTTCTGCTTCACTTAGCTTAAGAACATCAGAATGATTGGCAAAGTATCCCATTGGATGCAATGATACAAATGGTTTGGTTGGAGTGTGAAAAAGTTGCTCACTCACAGTCTGAAAAAGAACATTACATTAAATTTGAGGCTCATTTACACACTATTTATATTTAGAATTGGAATTCGGGGGGAGGGGATGTTTAACAGCACATGCATTAAGACTAGTTTGACTTGAAATCATTAATATTTAAATTTCACTTATGGAACTTGCACTTAAAGCCCCTCAAATACAACTATGGTGCCGATTCATAGAGAAGAAACATCAACATGATGCACTAGTAGTTCACACTCACTTTAACATGATTAAATTCATCAGCTATTGCAAACTGAGGGTACAGACCACTGCATAAGATGAGTTTCAACATTGTCAAGTCCTTGTAACTGCAAGTTGTTGATCCACTGAGTAAATTCTGTGAGCAAAAAAGTAACATAACTTTTTTAGGATTTCATGATACACTAACAGACCATTACAGAGGTCTGGACATAATAAAAAAACGCTGGGGGTATGATGATTGATTCCTCTGTAGTTTTTTGGCACTAAGTTTAAAATGGCCTCAGTTTATCTTAATGATAAATAAAATTGTAGTATTTACCTCAGAAGAGGAAAAAAAATTGATTAGGTTTGTTGCCACTTGTTGAAAAAATCACATTCTGAAATCTGCTTCCGCAGTAGGTTCAAAATTTTCAATTGCTCAAAATTTAAGGATTCCAGTTCAAATCAACTAGAGAGTTCCAAAAGATAAAAAAAAATGAAAATTTTTTGTACACGACACAAAAAAGAATTACATTAAATCATGAGAAAGAGCTATAATTCATGTTCGGACACACTCCTCGAACCTTTTTTGACTCGAGGTCTTGATAAAATCTTGATGAAAAATAAACCATGTCACACTGACCTAAATAATAATTCATTCCAAAAAAAGAGCTTTGGTTTAGAAATCTGCTCGAAAGAATGAATTCTAAAAAAATTAGTACAAAAAACAAAAGCATTTGAAGGATTCATACCTGGACTGTCAAACTGTCATTAGCCAACCTAAAATCAATATCTCCAATATCAACAGTGTCATCCTTTTCTTCCTCTCCTTCATACATTAGTTCCCAAGAATCTGGCTTCAGAATTTTTCGTTTCCTAGGTGCCTCGTTCTGATGTTGTCGCTTGGCAGAGCGGAGGAGTTTCAATTCACCATGACGCAAGGCTCTTTCGGCACTGCTCATTTTTTCAGCATTCGTTTTTTCTGATGGGAGTAAATTGCAATCCTTACTCAAAAAGAAAAAGAGAAACAGCTGTTAAGTAGCATATACAAACTTCTTACGATTAAGAATTCACAGATGGAAAAAATATTAGAATTTAAGTTGGACATTTTTCAACAAAAAAAAAATAACCAAGAAAACCCTGCTTTGAATGCAGCACTTAAGGTTAACAGCGAAGAGTTAACCTCTGGTAGAGTGTTTTCCTGAGCAATATTGGTGGGCGTTTTATAGGCTGGTCAATTTAAGCAGAAATTGCACAAAGAAGAAGATATCTTTGTACAAGAGACTTAATAAACCTCAAAAGATAATGGTGTTCAAAGAATTCCCGCCTAGTTTTACCTAAATTTCACTAGACGGCAGTTCAAAATTAGCTACATTTGTATTATTCCCTGATTTTGCAATCTTACTTATCACTCATTACCAGTTCTGACTACTGCAGATGAGTCTTTTTTGTAAACTCTTAGATAAACATTCATTGCTGAATGATGCCACATAAAAGGCGGAGCTCATCAAGGCTTACCTGTAGCAATTGTTTAAACTGTTTTCTCAGTTTTGTCATTTCGTAGAAGCGCTGTTCTTCCAGTCCCCTTCTCCGACACCAGTGACGTGAAGAAACGCCCCTCACCTTGCCACTTTTCACTTCCAACCATTCTCTATATGCATTCAGAAGAGTTATTGGATCACCATGATCGGATTCTAGGAGTTTCCGGGAGTTCTAAAAAAAGTCAAAGCTTGTGAAAGCTCTCAAGAAATTTTCAGCATTTAAAAATATCTCTGCCTGACTGTCACAGTCCCTGCAGTGTGAAAATATGAAAACCTCGATATCAGCTCTTTGACTCAGCTATTGCACGTTCTTTACACTTTAAACCATCCAGGACAGGGAAGAAACTTTTCTTATTGAGAAGGCTGCCAAAACCGTTGTAGTTAGCGATTCGATTTGGGTGGACTCTTGTTTTTCATGTAAGTGGGAAATTCAAATTTTTCGTAAACAATCTAAGTAAAAACGTTAATATCTTGGTTGGTAGTTAATTTCAGTAATTTTTGGTTTGGTAAGCTAATTGTGTTCTACAAAATTTTAAAGAGAAAACACACATCAGAATGCTTAACTTTGAATCCTGTCTGGAGTCCTGATCAGGATTACGTTCCTGTCAGTGCTCATATTTTCATGAATTTTTGGATGAAAAAGATACGAATCTTGCGGTTAAAATTTACATGATTTACCTCACATTCTGGATCACGGTAAGCTCGGTTTGTGAACGGGTTTTGAACTGATAATGCGGCAGCAAGCGACAAAACAGGCTCCAGTTGATGAAATAACGATCCATTGATTAACATTTTACCAAGGGGAATATCAACAGGTAAACGAGACAACATCTCACCGATTGAAGTTAGACTTTCATCGAATGAGAGTGCACCCTAAAAGGAAAATGAATACAAACAGGATTTTGTAAAAACAACACTAGGGATTCTTGAGTGTAAATTCTACTGTAAAATAGCCTAAAGTGTGTAAAAATTAACTTTGTCAATTGATAGAGCACATACATGTATGCAATTAAAGCCATTCACAAGTTTTGAGAAGAAGAGAAAATTCAAGGGCCGAAAACCAAACTGTCAAACTTTCCCCTGACTTTTCATGGTTTAGGAAAATCTACTGACTTCAATGTTTTCCCTGTCTTCTCAAGAATTGTCACCTCCTTTAATATTGGATGGTTTTTATTAGTCAACTTTCGAGCTCTGTGTACCAAGGAAGAAGTCAGAGATTAGCAACACTCATGATTAGCTGAATTCAAAAGTTTTTTCAATTAGTTATGTTTCTTCCTGAAAGGGACTTTGTTGATTCTAAAGGAAGGTCATTTAACGCTCATAAATTAATTCTGAAAATTCATCTAAGTCTAAAAGAGGCACCATTGATTTTGATGGTGTAATACATACAGCAATTCTTTCATTCTTGATTCATTACGAAGTACTTACATGCTGCTTTAAAGATGTGATTGAGACTTCGATACACTGCGCTGGAGGAGGCTCAATAAAAGGGAATTTCCGAGCGTCAGGAAGTCCCATTGCTACAATCTGGAGAATGACAGAATCCAAGGGTACCCTCTGTATTTCAGGAGTTGAGTATGGAGCCATATCTGTGTATTCCTCTTCTGAGTACAACCGGAAACATACACCAGGTCCAGTTCTGCCTGAATGACAAGAGTCATGCAGATTTAACATTATTAATTAAAGTTGGAGCAAAATGTTTCAAAGGTTTCATTAGCTATGTTTGAGGGTAAAAATCTTTGGATTAAATTGCAATTTATGCTCGTCATTGACAGAGAAAAAAAATACTTAAATCGCTTGCAACATGTTCTGTGGGATGTTGGACAGTATTTTAAAACCTGTAACTTTAACTGTAATTTTATTGCTCGAATTGACAAATTTTGTTTCCATGCAACATGGACCCTGTTCCCACTTATATGCATTTAAAGCCTGTATCAGTTCGAATTTAAGTTGTTAGAGCGATTTATTACAAAAGTATCCAAATTAAAATGGAGACAGAATTTTTAAGTTCTGAAGTTCCGGTAAGATCACCTGCTCTTCCTTTCCGTTGCTCTGCACTGGCTCGGCTCACCCACACCTCCTTCAGTTTTTGCATTTTCGCCACCGAGTCGTACATCATTTCTTTCACTTTTCCAGAATCGGCAACGAATCGAACACCATCAATGGTAATTGATGTTTCTGCAATGTTTGTTGAAACAATACATTTCCTCATGCCTTCTGGCGGATAGTCAAAAACCTGTGACACAAATGAGGGAGGTTATACAATGTTTTTATTCAAGACTGTCAAATTTGGGACATCCAACTCGGAATTGAACCAAGGACTTCCTGCTTATAGAGCTAGGGCTGCAAACACTAACCCACAGAAGGCCGCCGTTGCTACTGACAAGATTTTGAAGTGAAAGAAATTCATAAATAAAAATCATACACTTAATTGAGTCTTAGTACATCTTCGCTGGTTTGCTACTACCACCGTATCTTATAAGCAAATGCCTTACTTTTTTCATTATCTTTTCCTTCTTTTTTGGAATAATTTTCTTATCTTCAAGTCCAATTTCTAGTCTCATCATATATACATGGGTTCTTATAAAACTTTAACCTTATTTGAACAAAGCACTTAAAATAAGTTACAACAGAACTTAAGAGAAATTACGTATAGGCTACTAAAACATCATACCTTATCCTGATCAGCTATAGAAAGAGAGCTGTGAAGAGAGAGGACAATCCATGTTCCATCTCTTTCATTATAACTTTTGGCAACATCGATTACAGCAGTAATTTCAGCCATTCCGCTGACAAAAATTAATAAGTCCCCACGTTCGTCCCCTGAAAAATAAATTAACATCCCCCTGTTAGAGAGAAAAAAAAGGGAGTTGGTGGAATTTGGTTCCTACTTTCCTATGATAAAAAAACAAAAAAATAAGAGTAAGATTAAATTAAATAAAAAAACCAGTTTTTAGAAAACTTCCCTTCTTCTGCAGATTTGTAATTTCAACTGAATGAGAAAAATTTCTATTTGATTCAAGATACTATCCATATTCTATCATCTTTTCATCAATTATGCATTCTGTTATTTCATGGAATTTGCCATTGAATTTCAGCTTCAGAAGTAACGTTAGTGGGCTCTCAGGAAATTAAGAGCGCTGAAAACTTTCAAATTTAATAAAGATTTATAAATTGAGTGATGGGAGCTTACTAGAATATTTCTTGTCAATCAACTGCATTATTCGTAGGAAAGGTGCCGGATCGAACCGTTCAGACCGTTCTGAGGCAGGTATTGGGTGGTATTCAAGTTTAATCGGATGGAGACGACCTGGAACCTAAACAGATTGTACAAGAAGAAGGCAAAGGGTCATAAAGAGTAAAAGGAAATGAGGACTTAATGAGACAAAGTTTAAGGCGCACTTACTTAAGGGGCCTCGGAGGACAAGGTGCAGTTTTTGAAAAAATTGAGATATTCATAAACTCAACTAAAACTAGTTGGAAAGTAGATTCTGTAAAAAATTCAAAACTAAAATCAAACTTTAAAGCATCAAATAGTGAGTATAAACTTCCTTTCCGCCATAAGGCTCCATGTAATTTTGAAACTTCAAATACGTATTTCTTGAAAGAGCAGAAAATGCACTTATGCCCCTTGTCCTCCAAGCCCCTCACGTGACTCTGAATTGGGTATCATCAGTCGGCTGATTCCCATAACCTCCTACTTGTGACCAAAAAAGAAAAGGTTGCATTTTGAAAAAATGAGCTGATAGAAGTTTTAAAAATTATTCATACATTTTTTCCTATCCAAAATTTAAAGTAAAAAAAATATTTTAAATGAGAGGATAGTTGGCAACCTTTGTCCTCAGCTTTGCTTCTCATGGATAAATAAAGTTCAAACCTATTTTTTTTTATCCAAACTTGATGCAACTTGGTGCGTATTCTAGTGGACAAAAAAATATACATTTTTTCTCATGTTTTTTACCTGAATGACTTTGGCCAAATCACCAAAATAAGTGCAGATGAGCTTAATATTGATGGTTGCAGACATTAGGATGATTTTTACATCATCCCTTTGGTGCAATAAACACTTGACTACCCCAAGAAGAAAGTCCGAAGTTAGGTGCCGCTCATGGACCTCATCAAGGACAACAACATCATATTGACCCCATCCTTCACTTGCAACCTGCAAATAATTAAATTGCGCCATGTGAAAACAACTGAAGACTATTTTTTCTAGCTTTGAAAAGACACCGTACAAGCCTGTTAAATGGGGTATTACAAAGCATTCAAAAGTTAATTACACATTACAGAAGTGGATTGTAAAAAAGGATCTCCAATGGTCTGAAGCTCTTTTTATGGCTGGAACGGACTAATTAAAATATAAAGACACTAAACATTGACTGTTTTCGCATGACTCGTGAAAATCTTTGAGTCACAGAGCGTGCCTGTAGTGCAGTGCCTAGATATGCCATTATAGTCGTTTTTTGCATGGTCCGTTCTGAGAAATTCAAAACGCACGTTTATAAGCTTGAATATTATTCAAATTTACGAAAAAGTAAGTTTGAGGAAAATGAATATAAAAATGAGCCAAATACTAAAAGGACTGAAAACAAAATCGAAAGTTGCAGAAGCAATTCAAATAATGCCTCAGTCATATCATAAGTGTGGAAGAAAAAAATAGTTGAATCATCATATCAGATTCCAGTGTGTTTTTTGAGCTGATTTCAAAATTATAAACGGAAAAATTCCAAAATCCCTACTTCAAGAACAGAACCGGTTGGTGGGTCAGTTATTTCAAACAAATTGTAACTCCAGTGTCAAAATTTCTCTTTTGCTTATTTTAAAGCCATGCCAAACAACAAACAGGAATTATTTACTTTACATGCGTTTATTACTTTGACTCGGTGCCTTGAATGCTTTTGAATACTTTATAATGGAGCCAGATTTAATTTAGATGTATAAAATTAAAAAAAAATTCTAAAAATCCTTGCATGGTAGGAAAAAAAATTGTGATTATATTTTTTTCAACACTCGATCATACATGAGAAACTCTCATGAGATTGTAAACCTTTTCAGAAGTCAAAATTCCGCAAACCTTTGTGCATTGGTGCAAAAAAACAGATGAAGAAATAGCAATGAGATAAAACAAATACAGACTGGAAAATTCAGTCTTTCCTCACATAATTTGCAAATTCAGGGAATGAGCTAATAATAATAAACTTTGAATACATACCTGACGTAAAAATAAGCCTTCCGTGATGAAGACAATTTTAGTATCCTGTCGTTTTTGTTTCTCAAATCGAATCTGATACCCAATAAGATTCTCTGCTTCACTTAACGTTTCATATGCTACCCTTTTTGATAGAGAAATACACGCAATACGCCGTGGCTGTGTGCAAGCTGTAATCAAAATATGAGATATGAAAAATGCAAATGAAAAAGTTTGGAAGAAAAAATGATGAGTGAACAAAATTTTTATGGAAAAAAAAAAAAAAAAAAAAAAAAAAAAAAAAAAAAAAAAAAAAACTGGAGTGCAGAATAAGGTAAAGCTAACACAAGTACATTTTGGACCTAGCTTAATTTGTACGAAGAAAAAAGGGGACTGCTCTGGGAACAGGAGAATAGTAAAATAACGACTTAATCAAAGGAGAGGCTGCTGCAAAATAGGTATACAAAATTAAAGAAAAAGTCTTGGTTTTGCAATAATAGCAAATCAACGATTCCTTTTTTCCTTTATTTTTGCCAGTTGAAAATGAGTATATAACTATCTTGAAATATCCCAGTTTTTCTTTCTAACTAAATTTTTTGTCTGTGATCTTTAGTAAGCGTTTTGCAGCAGCCTTTCCCTCGATTAAGTTGTTATTTTACTGTTTTTTGGCAAATTAATTTGTATTTGAGGATACAGTTACACATTTTGTTGTTTTTTTTTTTTGCTTGATCAATCACAGATGAGGAGATTGTACACACAGGTCAGACTCATATCACGTTAATGTGCAAACATGGAATGTTGATTTTTAGAGTGCATTATTTTTAAGCCAAAGATGTAATTTAAATATGAATCAGATACTCATGATACTCATTTAAGTTTGGAGGGAACAGTATGAGAATTATATATAAGAAAACTTTCATGCAAAATCTTACCGATCCTGTTATAGCCAGCTTCCATGAGATACTGGGGGATTTGGGTTGATTTTCCACAACCTGTGTCTCCAGCTATTATGACTACCCTCTCAGACTGGACAGCTTTGATTATTTCATCGCTGGAATGAGAGAGAATTTTATCAGTGAAATAACATTGTGCCAGTGATAATGGTAAGAATTTTGGCAACATCAGAATGTGAGCAGTTTCTGGCATTCGCTCCCTTTCATTTTAGTTTGTTTTATTCTTTCTTCCTTCGTAAACCTGATAATTGCCTAAATAGCAATGGTCAAGAATTAACGTCCGAAGAAAAAGACGGGCCAAGACAGGTACACGTAAGTAATGTATCATGCGCTACAATTACTTCAACTCAAGTCTCCTAAGCAAATTGTAATTCTAAAAAAGTAATCTTTACAGCAGCTTACCGATATTGAGCTACAGGTAAACTAGCTCTGCTTTCTTGAATTTTCTTCTCTTTGGAAATCCTTTCTTTTTCCCTGAAGTCAAGATAAATGCGGATGATGAGTCTAAATTCTCGGAAAAGTAATTTTGTCAGTCGTTGCCTTCGATCATACTCATCAAATGGTGGTAAGTAGCCCATCAGTTCCTCATCAGTTGCTTTTAAAATACGTTCAGCAGTGCGTGGTAATTTTGAAGGAATTTCAAAGGTTGCAATTTTCTTTTCCAATTCTGTTGAAAATTTCCAGAAGAAATTGCATCAGTAGTATCAGAAGACAGAGACACGATTTGAGAATATGATTTTGATACAACTTTTTTTCATGATTAGAGCACTAATTTCAAATGAGGTGGGAGTAATGTGAACAGTAAGTACCTAATTTTTGCTAAGTTATAAATATGACAATTAATTGTCTGCTCTAACAACTGGATTACCTCCACATTAGTTTAAAATGATTTTTTTAGACTTTACTACTTGTATGAAAAGAATTCACAGTCTTGGAACTTTTTCCCAAAAGTGCTAATCTTCTTTAAGTCAACCATAAAATTTTTGGGACCGGGTATATTTTCGGGGAAAAAAAGGAGAGAAAACAGCTCTCATTAAATACAACTTTGAGATTCAATGTCTGTGAAGTAAATTTAGTTGAAAAATTAATTGCTGAGGACAAAGATTTTTCATTCAAAGATAAAATTGTTCTAATCACTCATACCACTAACAACTCTGTTAGAAGGGAGATAGGATAAGGTATCAATGAACTGACCCTAAAACACGAATTCATGATTGAGACATGGCATATGTTCTAAATAAAGTCATAATGATAAGGCAAAACTCTTAGGCGGATCAGAATTAGAACTTTTTGATGCGTGATTTTTTATCTGATGACTAGGTAAATCTTATTGACTTTCAGTGAACTATGGGAACAGTTACTTAAAAAGTAGTAACAGTAAGAAGGCCCCTAGGATTCTTAGGTATCAGAATTTGCGGAGCTGGCGAAAATGGGTTAATGCCATAATTATCAGTTTTACAGGCCAAGCAACCTAATTGGACAGACTTACAGGCCAATAATGCTTTGAATAGCGACTTTATTTGAGTTTATTGGTATTTCTGAATAAGTTGCACCGATTGCTTACTGACAAGAAATTGACTGAAAATACCTTTACTGATGATAAGAAACGTCTTAAAGAAAATTAGGTTCATTTTTCAGTGAGGAGGTACACTTTGAGGAGATTCTTTGACCAAATACTGAAATAAAGGTGAAAAGCTTTTTCTACATTCTTTTCAATGCAAAGGAAAATTAGAGAGTTGAGGAAAGAGTTGCGATACTGAAGAAGTTTAAGAGAAACCATAATGTGCAAATATTTGAACAGGAACCACCGATTCTGATGTTCAGCTGACTAAAGTCATTCATTAACATTACAATTAGTGTTATGTGCCGGATCACTTACCTTCTAGGTTACATTTTTGGCTTTTAGTCCTCTTCATAGCCTCATATTTTTTCACGAAGAGCCAAAAATCCTCTTTGTCGGGGATAAGCGAAGCATCCCTACAAAATATTTTATTAAGTTCATACTGATACACTGTGAAACTAAAGTCTTTGTCTTCATTTTGCGACCTCTCATTTGAACTTTCTGGAGAATTCTCTCTACTTGCACTACTTTTGGCACCCTCACTCAATTCATGGGAGGAGTCATGATGCTTCCTACTTTTGTTTACATAGATTTGTTTTCCACAATCATCTCGTCTAAAATCTTTTCTTCTATCGTCAGTGGTACTACTTTGAGGCTCAACCAATGTCCTTTGTAGATGGCCCTTGAAATCTTCACTCCCAGGAATATTTCTCCAGCCTTCATAACTTTTAGTGAATGGTGACAACTCTTTACTCTTTTTACTTTTACGCCTGCTTCCTGCACCTGTATTATTTTCCCTCTTATCATCACTGCTTGAGTCTTCTGAGCGACTTTCACTGCCTTTTTTTTGTACAAAGCTGGAGCTGTTTTCGTCATCTTTTCCACGCCTCCTTTTGCGCGAGTGATCTCTTGATTTATCTTGAGTGCTTTCAACGGAAGACGTATCGTCACTGAACGTGGAATCATCACTAGAAGTGACGTCCGACTTCCTCTTTCTTGAACTTCTACCTTCACGACTGTATTTTTTTGTATGGCTACTACGTTTCCTTTTGGTTTTCATTCTCTTATGCTTTGGAGAATGATCTTTTATTTTATTTTTATGTTTTCCCATTATCTCTGATATGAAAGACCTAGAAGAAACACACAAAAAAAGTAAAAATAAAAAACTTTACCAATGTAGCCAGGTTTCTTTGCAAGACAAAAACTTTCATACTTGTATGATACACATTTGTAAGAGCAAATTTACTGCTCAATACAAATACGCATAATGAATCGAGTTCACGATATTTTTCACGACTATTTTCTAACATGGGAAATTACAAAAGAATAAACTTGAAAATGAGGAATGAATCGCTAAATTATCTACATAGAGCAAATGGTTTTTTTTTTTTTTTCCCCTCCTAAAAGAAACTCATAGATTTTAGAAAGACACTTGGAAAAAAAAAAAACTGTTGAATAAATTTCAAAAAAACTTGTCAAGTATTTGCTTAGGTGAAATGTATGATAGATAAATTTAAGTAGAAAAATAATTTAAAGACATTATTTCGTAAATTTTACTTAAAATACAACCCCAAGAAGTTCCCTGAAATACAATTTTTTAAGAGTTTCTGAAAAGTTCTTTTTGCTGGTCATTCAGGAAACAGATTTAATTACTGACTTGGCTGTTATTTTTTCATAAATATTTGTCTAATTTAAAAGTAGAGGAAATATCCTTGTGTTCAACTCAATCAGTTGTCAATATTTATAAATTTAATTTAGTTACTTGCTTTCTAATTACAGGATGTTCTTTAGATGTAAGTTGTTTAAGGTTTAAAACTTTGATATACTTACACTTACAAATTACAACAGAGATATACAGAGTGATCAAAAAGTCTGGACCCCCCAGTTAACTTTTGAAAGGATGAACTTGGAGATTAAAAATTCTGAGTATATTCTTCCATCAATACCCAGAAGCTCTTTTTGACCGTATTCGAAATTTTTGGCTATTCAAGAATTGCCATAAGGCTTCATAGACTATAGCCTAGGGTGCATCATTCTGAGAGGTGCCAACATTTTTGGAATTTATTTCAAAGCTAAGTATTATTGGAAATTTTCTATGTTGTGTTTGATACATTTTTTTCTTCATAACTCATAAGTCTTTCAATTGCTCAAGCAAAGGCGAGTGAAAATGAACTGATAAACGGCTGCAGGGCTACTGGCTAAGTTCCAGACCATTACGTCATACCACATTTTTCTTAATTGATGATACTTCGTAAAAAACACGAGAGAGAAGCTGCTGTAAAACAGTACGTCATTTTCGACATTTTTCGAATCTTTGGTCACCTTCGATTTCTGAAACCAGAAAATGCTTATGACTGAATATCTTGGAGCATTTTTTAAAGGTAATTTGAAAAATTTTCTTCACACTTGACATCCTCCTTTTGGTCTGGAGGGAGGAGGAATAAAGTTTAGGACATCCCCCTCCCTTCCAACGGAGAGTACTTTTTTGGGGTGCTAAGCAAACCAAAGTTTAGCCTAAGGGCGCTACAAGTGTAAGTTTGGCCCTGTAAATGTTTTTTCATATGACACTATTGGACCCCAGTTTCACTGTTTTCCCGATTTGGGCCTGGACATTTGAACATTTTGAACTGATTTTTTCAAAAATTGGCAAAGAGGATCAGCTTGCTGAAACAGAAGAATTATGTGCTTTTATCTCAAGCGCTACAGTGGTGCAATGGTCCAGAGCGCAGCTCATTAGCCAGGAGGTCTTGGGTTTGATTTCTGAAGAAAAAATCACAATAGAACAATCTTACATGGTTCTAAGATTGCTCTTTTGCGATTTTTTCTTACTAACATCTAAATATGTTTGATTTCACTGAATGACTTGACCGAATCAAGAACTTCATCATAGAGTTAAAAGTAATCCAAATTTTAAAATTATCTTGTTACTGGGAAAAATTAGTTTCATTTAAATCTTTGAAGGTTCGATGCATTCTGTTCATGCTAAAAGGGATTTTTTCTTTTCAAACGATCCTATTTACTTATAGAATAGTGAAAAAGAGATTCCTTTATACAAACTACCGGTAGCATGCCTCTTGAATGTCTTTTAGAAAACTCTTCTGAAGAATACCCTATGAAACTCTTTAGCTCAATTGTTACTTAGAAATCATTTGTGTATAAATCATTCAGAGAAGAAATCAATGGACTCTGAGGACTATTCATCTTGATGAGAAATACAAGGAAGTTGCACAGAATGTGAGATATTTAAGGTTAAAATTACATGAGAAAAATGTTTTACAAATTTCCCAGGATAAAATAATAAAAATATTGTAAGAACGAAAGTGGGCATATTAACTTGATGAGGACATTTGGTGAAATTTTTTTCCAGAAAAATCTTAGAAATAATATATAACATGACAATTGAGAACGTACAACCACCTACTACACCACTGATTGTGAGAGATAGGTGTTTTAAAAATTCATAGAGACAGGATTTTCATCGACTTCTCTCTGTGACTTAGACACTTTGTTTTCATGAGATTATTGGGTAAGGTATTCTTTGTCTCTTTCTGAACCGTTTTTCTATTAAAGGACTGAAAGACAAAAATTCAACCTATTACAAATTTGAAACAAAATTGAGACTTTAAAAAGAGAGGGTTAAAGAGGAAATTGTACTGCAAGCCTGGACTTATAAAGAAAAAATAAACGGATTGAAAATTTAGTTGGAATTTATTTATTTGAAATATACATTATATTTACAAACGCAATAACTTACAAAAATTTTCTAATCCGTTTAGAAATGACAGCCATAGAATGGAGACTAAAACAGAAACACGAGAGAGGGAAAAAATATAACTTGTGAGCTCTATGATAATAGATTAGAAGCCTGATATGAAGAGAAGCTCATTTTATTGTTAGTAAGAATTCTTTGCTATTGATATTAATGATGATGGTTGCCTGAATTTTCTAATGGCTGGATAGGAGAGAAAATAAAATTCCATGTAATCTAAGAAATTTTAAAATTTAACCAAAACTGAACCAGCCCTCCATTCCGACTGGTTAGTTCAGCCCTAGAGAAATTATGGTTATTGATACCTACATAAACGAGATAACAGAGGGAGAAGTTATATTTTGACGCCTGCATTCTTAAAGAGTAATTAAGAGAAGAGATAGGGAGGAAAAAGGACCTCAAAGAAAAGAAAGTTGAAAACTATTAAAAAATATAGCAAAATGAAGAAAACAATTCTTGCTACATGTCAAATGCTATAACTTAAGTGAACAAAAAAAAAAAAAAGGAAGAAAAAAAACTCACCATTCAGTGATAAAATATTCAAGAGGGTGGATCTTCTTGAATTGTGTGTATAGTTGCGTAGTGAATATAGATGTAAAAATGAGGGGGATTATCACTACTTAGAAGAAATTAATAGATAACAAAAACAAAATTCTTGATTCAAGATCTAAAATTTTAGCTAGTTTTTGCCTAGGCGGAGCAAGATTGCTTTCAGATGTTCTGTATTTGCAGGAGCTGTTGTGAACAGATTGCCTGAGGAAACAAAAGTAAAGATAAATTAATGTATTTTATAGACAGAATAGATAAAAAGAAACTTGTCAATGAGAGTTAAGTTCTCTGTTCAAGAATGTTTGAAATTAAAACAGATGTAATATTTTTTTAGCCTGACGTTCAAAATTAGAGATGATAATGTGGATCAGCCACCATTTACACCTCAGCAAGCAATGTTAAGATACATATGAATCTATTGACAGATCAAAATGCATGAAAAATTCGAGGTAAAGAACTCGAAATTCTTACAAATTTTCATTGTTTATTGTTTATTGTTTAAGTATAATATTTTGAGAAAATTTTATTTTCCAAATCAATAGGCAAATTTTTGATTGGTAAAAGGCTGAGAGCTTTTTGTCTCCAGATGCAAACAGCTTCCTTCACTGGATATATTGAACTCTATTTCTAAAATGGGTGAAAGAAACGCTTGACTTAGCAAAGCTTATAAAGTTTTACATTACAGTTTTTGGTTTGGATTGTTGTTCCATGCATCAAGGGGTAAATTTAATTGGGGGATCATGAACACCCACCCTTTCTAACCTGGGGGAAGGAGCTAGTAGCAGTTCAATCTCTGTCATTGGCATCAAGTCAAGAGTTTCAGCAGACAAATAAAATTTACTTTCACAGATGGTCAAGAAATGTGCAAGATCTACTAGTAAGACTGGAACAACAGCCCGATAACATGGTGCCGATTTGGAATTTGTATGCTGATAAGTTGTTCTGCGACCAAACAGTCGATATTCACTCATTTAGTTTACCTTCTTCTGAGTAATATCAAAAGATCACCATAGTTGGTCTTCGCTGCTCCATATGGATAAGAAATTCATCAAACAATTTTGTAGATGTGAGAATGACTTTCTCAATGACCACTACATTTTTTTCAGGTATTTAATGACAATTTGGTTTTTGACTAATATTAGTGCCTGATTAGTTGACTAATATTAGTGCAGGTTAGTGCCTAATATAAATTACTGCATTTAGTTAATGCCCTCCCATCTCACACATCTCATGGAAAAACAGAGGAAGAAATATTACACACAATAAATCTTATATGCATGAGGAGGGTGATCAAAACCCTTTTCTGGAAAATTTATGAGGAGATTAAACACTTAACACTTACCAAAAAAACTTCTATTAGTTTTATCCTCAATCAATCGACAGTTTTGACGTTCAGATATTTTGAAACCAAGGCATCTGAATCTTTCATCTGTTTTGTACAAATTATGACGAGTATTTTGTCCATTGTATGGTAATCCAGAGAAGGGGTTGATAAAATCTGCCCAATATCCAGCTTTTTTCAGCTTACTACAGATCTCTTTTGCAGTTAATACAAACTGAAAAATGATAAGGTCAGATGTTATTGCAGAGCAAGTCACACAACTATGAAAAAAAATTCACTCATTGCCTCAGACTTTGTATCTAATTAAGTACAATGATAGTGATTTGAGTCTACCTACAATAATCTATCAACAATTAAACCCCTAATTGCGTCTATACTACAAACAATTTACTGCAAAAGAGCTGCTTTGAGGTGGCCAGTTCAGGTACTGATTTTCAGTACCATACTCTTCACGCATGAACCACTGTGCATTTTAATCACACTGCACTATACAGGCTTTTTATCGGATATGTTGCACAGGTATCATGTACGTCCTAGTATTCAGTCCAGGGATGAGAGAAATCTCTGAGCGATACTTTAGCTTGACAACTTAAGAGAGCATGCTTTGGACAGGGAGTGACACAGAGTTTCAGCAAACCAATTTGTAAAATGTTAAGAGTGTGGAACACTTATGAAACAGTGTTCCAACCCCACGAGCGCCATGTCGCCAAAGGCTCCTAAAAAATCGGCCATGGCCCCTAAAAAATGAAGACCCTGCGCCAAACGTGCCCCCAAAAAAATGGTCGCAATCCTAAATTACGGTTTGATGATTTCAAGATTTTTGTCAGTCAGCCTGGACTGAACGCGCATAGCAAGCAGTTGCGCGCGGAACTTCGTTGCGGCAGCGGCTCAGCAGATCGAGAATCGTACTACTTATCGTACATACTATAGAATCGTTCTACTACTTTTCATAATAGGAAGTCAGAAAAAGTATTTTTTGATTGAACAAACTTTAAGTAAACTAAAAGCTCCTTGTTTTAAATCGGAATATCATTCCTTTGGCCTTTCCCTTTCCCAAGTAATGGCTGCGAGTTGCAACTTGCAAGTCCTGTAACTGTATACCTTGCGTATAACTTTTCACTAAATGCGCCGTGATATATAGGCAAAAATTCAATTTGCCCCCTAAAAAATCTTCGATGGCCCCTAAAAATTGAACTTGATGGGCCAAACAGCTCCTAAAACTTGGAGGTGAAGTTGGAACACTGTTATGAAATACCTTTGATGTTATGGATGTATTCATTGTACACCTCATATGGATCTCTTGGATTATGGAGGCTTCATTGAAATATTTTCACTAACAAGGGGAACTTCCCAAGCTGCCGCCTCCGATCGGGCTGAAAAAATTCATACGAACTCTTTGGATGAATTTATTTGACCCGTATTTTTTTGTTTTTTCCAACGCCCCCTAGAAACCCCCCAAAAAAATTCCGGAAAGTCTTGCTTTGAGCGCTCAAGTCAATATACGTAGTATAGCGACCGGTTCTTATCAGTCGGCGGTGGCTCTGCGGTAGCGCGCTCGCCCGGTAATACAGCGGTCCCGGGTTCGAATCCCGGACGCCGCGCCTACTTTTTACGACCGAATTTTATATTCTCACACATTTTCACATCGAATCCCATTTAATACAGTGGAACTTAAAACATCAATTAATTTACAACCATCATCAAACACAAATTGATCTACGATCAATAACTTCTTCAATTTGAAGTATAGATTTTTTTTGGGAGGGAGGGGGGGGATACGCGCGCGATTATCTCGCCAATCACTGTACTTTTACATTAGCCGACGACCCGCTCCGCCCCCTCACATCAACATATTTCTCCCGATCACCCGTATGCGTCATGATTTTTCCCGTCATTATCCACAAAATAATAATGAAAAATTACTTCGAACATTCAAATTAAAAATGCTGCTGTAGGATCACAAAACTCACCGGCAAGGGTTTTCGAAAGGAGATGTTGTTGCCCATCCTCGCAGCACAATCCATAAAAACTCGATGAGCCCTTCTTCACCATAACAGGAAAAAAAAATAGAAAATAAAAGAGTGCAAAATATATAAAAAAAAAAGAACGAAAGAGAGAGAAAAATTAGAAAAAAAAAGAATTAGGTGCAACTTTCGGGATGGAATGCGTCGTAAAAGCAAGTAAAACAGACGCACTTGTAACATCGCGCACACCGTATAAACGCACATTTCTCGCAATTTCCCACGCAGCACTTTTGACGGAAAACGTCCTCAGGGAAACACACTTCATTCACTGTGCTGAAAAATATGCGGTCATCCGTGTATCCTGGTGTCGACCAAGCATATTTTATTAGATTGGTGAAGGATGGTGAAGAGAGCTGGTGGTGAACAATGGAGTGCAGTTTGATTGAATCCTCCCTCGAAGTCAGCTCCCGCTTCTCCTTAAAAAGCACCTCACAGTTTTGCATTTTTTTAAGAATTTGTTTCACTTGCCGGAAAAATGTAACGTCACAGGGTTGACAATACTTCGTGCACAGGGGAGGTATAACTGCTATCGCACAAGAGGGTTCGCCGTTTTCATCCGCGAAGTAGGGATCAAATAAATCCTCGTTGGTTTGGCCACCCCACGAGTCTAAAATTAGCAGAAAACGATTTTCTTGCACATAAGGTGCAATAATATGCTCCGAAAAAAGCTCAACGTGATTTTTCGTAAGTTTCCCCGACTTTGAAGCTGTCACGTAAACATTGCCGTACCTTTCGACCAGATCGTTCACTTTAATTTGTACGCGGGGCCCGAAAACACCTCCTGCCTCCTGCATGCAAAGGAACACTTTAGGTAATAATTTACCTGACGCAGTGATACAGTATTGAGCCGTATATGAGTGAGTAACTTTATTAAAGTCCCCTAAAAAAACTTCCGTGCACTTTTCGCCCCGTTCAGATAGGGTGCGGTCTACTTTGAACCGATATTCACACCCGGTTTGATCCGTATTTAAAATAAAGTCCGGGTCGTAATCACTCATTGCTTGTCGGGTTGCACTGACAAAATTAGTCCAACGTTTCGATATTTCGGCTTCATCTAATTCATTTTTCGATTTTAAATAGCGCGTCACTTTTCGTTGTCGGATCCTTCGCTTTCGCTTAAAATCATCGACCCACGATTGGGATGCTGAGAAACGAAAATTCTTACGGTTCGCCAAAGTTTCCACGGCTTCTATTGCCCACTGTCGAATATTGCGATTAGTGACTGGCCGTCGGGCTGCGCGGGCCATCTTAAATTGATTATATGTGTAGTCACTTATGGCAGCAAAACTTTCGCGTAATGAGGATTGCCCTTCATCTACCTGCGATTTCCACAAACGCAATTGTCTATCACTTTTTAGCGCGGAACAACGTTTTTTAAGAGTATTCAAACTCCACTTGGGATGCGCTCTGGATAGGTCCACTACTTTTTTTTTAACCGAAAAAGGAACAATATCCGACGATGAAAATTGTTCCTCCTCGTAGTCTGAATGAGGGTCATCACTAGAGGAATTATCTGTTTCATTTTCGCGGTCACTATTATCGTACGCGGAGTCGTTTTCGACGTCCATGGCTTCATTTTCGAGGAAAAGTTCAGATTCCTCGTAAAACTGATGTTCGTTTAAAAGTTCTATGAACTTTTCGGCAAGTTTCTGGCCTATAAGTTGCGATTTTCCGGAAAAGTGCCCTTTTTCTGCACAGCCTGTAACAACTTGCCGATCCCGCAAGATTTTTTCACAATAAAAAAATCCGTCCGAAATTTCGCGACCACTAACTCCGTTAATTCCACTATGAAGAGGGGGGTCTTTCAAAACTGGTGAAAATACCGAACTGCTACTCACAACATCGTACGAACAAGAAGGTCCACTATCCGGAAAAGACGACATTGCGACCGTCAACGTCTTTTGATGGATACTGAAGATCTTGATCATTCTCCAAATGAGAAAAATAACAGTTTTATCATTGTGATTTTCCGTGTACATCTCTATCTCGGGAAGTATCGACACAATTTTGAGAGACCCAAACATTATGACAGCATACATTTCTTTAGAGCAATCAGATAGACCGATAAAACCGGATCAGAAATCCATCTCTGAAAGATGCTATTATGATAGCAAGATTATGATCTTGCTGAAATCCAGAGCGCGAGCGATACAGTAAGAAGCAAAAAGACGCGTACATAGAATACGTCTGATAATTTTTCCGCTTTCTAGAGCCCCCCCCCCTCCCACCCTTCTCACAAGACTAGACAGCATTGGATATCCGGGAATGAGACCCTCTCGTTGAGGCATTTCTTATGTGAGAGGACGACCTTACGACGTATACCTTGAAAAGGATCGGAGAATGGGCAACAACACCTCGTTTCGAAAACCCCTTTCGACGGAACAGAGTTTGCCGGTGAGTTTTGTGATCCTACAGCAGCATTTTTAATTTGAATGTTCGAAGTAATTTTTCATTATTATTTTGTGGATAATGACGGGAAAAATCATGACGCATACGGGTGATCGGGAGAAATATGTTGATGTGAGGGGGCGGAGCGGGTCGTCGGCTAATGTAAAAGTACAGTGATTGGCGAGATAATCGCGCGCGTATCCCCCCCCTCCCTCCCAAAAAAAATCTATACTTCAAATTGAAGAAGTTATTGATCGTAGATCAATTTGTGTTTGATGATGGTTGTAAATTAATTGATGTTTTAAGTTCCACTGTATTAAATGGGATTCGATGTGAAAATGTGTGAGAATATAAAATTCGGTCGTAAAAAGTAGGCGCGGCGTCCGGGATTCGAACCCGGGACCGCTGTATTACCGGGCGAGCGCGCTACCGCAGAGCCACCGCCGACTGATAAGAACCGGTCGCTATACTACGTATATTCACTTGAGCGCTCAAAGCAAGACTTTCCGGAATTTTTTTGGGGGGTTTCTAGGGGGCGTTGGAAAAAACAAAAAAATACGGGTCAAATAAATTCATCCAAAGAGTTCGTATGAATTTTTTCAGCCCGATCGGAGGCGGCAGCTTGGGAAGTTCCCCTTGTAAGTACTCTTTCTATTAGTATAGGTATGAATGGGTTTAAGATATATGTCACAGTTTGCGATATATTGGCCCCAGCTGACATTTGGTCCTTTTTATATACATTTGATTTTCCATAAAGAGCGGAAAGGCGATTTTTAAACACAAATTTTTGTTAGTTCAAGACTGTTAAAGTATGCTAGATTACATATATATTGGTTATTTTTTTATTATACATCTTTTTTCATGATGATCTACTTTTCCTTTGAAATAACGAGCTTTTCGAATTGACCAGATATGAATTAGCAAGCAGCCACTGTGAAGTTTGGTTTTCCTAATCTTGATTTTAGAGAAAAAAATTCACTTCTTTACTTCCAAATTAATATACAGTGTCAAAATCTCCTGAATTGAGGTAGTTGTACTTAAAGTTGTATATAAGTTTTAGAGGCACTTGCAGAAAAAATCTGAACGGTCCATGCAATTATTCAGAAGCTTTTACTTACATATTTTGTTAATTTCTCAGTGTCAGCTTCATTCAGTCTTGTTTTTGAGCGTTTTTGGGATAATGTGACAACAGTCAAATTTGAGACACTAAGATCTATCCCCGGAAATAACTCATGGGTTCCTAAAATAAAAGAAACAGTAAATTTAAAGTTAAAGGGCTCCAAGGAGGTGACACAAGGAATACCAGACTAATTGTAAGTATTCTTTGACAGAGGCCAGTTCAACCTGCACCGGAAATTTCAGATAACTAAGAACTGTTTTAAAGAACCACATCAAAAACCAGTGTATATTTGCAAAACCGAAAAGAAATCACAGGTTTTTCCTCAAAAATAAGGCAATTTTTGTATAAACAGTTTTAAAAAGGTCATTATTTTATAGTTTTGGAGGAAAAAGGAGTTTTTAAAATGAGAAGGCAAATAATTTTCTGCATCCCTGTCTATGAGATTAAAACCGTAGATAGGCTTAAAGAGGGTCCACAATAGATCAGTTTCAGGTAGAAATCCTGTCTCATTACATGATAGAGTAATGATGAAGTCAGCAACATTCAATCATAGAAATGGTGCATTCAGTAAATTGGAAACAACTCGCTTCATTCATACAACCATGATTCTAAACCAATGATATAGATAATACTTCTTTTGTGATTTGATCTGTCATGACAGTTGTCAAGACAAGAAATTCTCAGTTTAAAAAAAGTCATTAAAGATTCTTCCTTAAAATTTTTACACATGGAGGATATCACAGCTCTTTTTGCAAGTAGGAAACAAAAGAAGAAAAAGAAAGCATAAAAATTTCATATTATTCTTCATCATCAGGCAATTCCCCATTTTTGGGGATTTTTTCCAATGATCGAGAGGAAACCATGTGTAGAATCTTCTCCAGATCTTGCAAAATCTATCCAATATAAACACACTGTCTACAACCCTGAGACCTATCAATACAAGGAAGATAAAGATATATTACCTTTCCGTAGTAGAAGAGGACATTCTTGAACTGTGCATTCTAATTCACTATTATCGACAAAATCGAAATTCTGAAACAAAAAAAATAAGTATTTTTGTATTTGATTTGCTCTTGATTACTGACTTAGCATGGCCTCACAGCCTATTACTTGTATGCTTGTGGTCTCTTTGCTTGTTTGTACTGTCACCGCTACTAAAGATGGCCTCTCGGGCTAAAATACATTTAGTAGAATAAACATGTTTTAAAAAAACCTGCATATACTGGTTCAGTTATTTAACAGTCTAAATGGAAAATAAGTGCAATACACGGAATTTTTTTGATAATGAGTGACATTAGAAAAAGGATCTATGCTTCAGACTGAGGAGAGGCAAATTAGAGCTTTTATAGTCGTTTCGGACCTCTACATTAAAGGAGATCTTCGATTATGGCAATGATGCATCTCAGATTGTAAGCATATTCAAGGTCAGAAATGGAAAGTGAAACATCACAGTAAATCCCAGTTGCCTACCAATATTCTCATCAAGGGGGATGTATGCACTGTTTAGATTATATTGTATGTCTATGGTAGAATAACAATATAGTAGCATAACTATATGCTTTGGACAGAAAAAATACTTCATGAGCTGACTAATTTAGCAGCTTCTCGGCTTTGTGATTCTAAACTAAAACAGCAGCAGCTTTAGAAAACAAACCTGTGGGTAAACGTTGACACAAGTAGAAGCATCATGCCATGCTGGTCCTACACTTCCAGGTAGGTAAAAGTGGTAACCTTGAGGTGCTAGTAATTCCCAATTTGGATGATCTTTTAGACGAAGATTGTTCACTTGTTTGTCTTGAAACAAAGGGTAATAAAAAAAGGAAATTTAGAGGATTTTCAAGGTAAGTACTCCTATTAATAGTGAAGAATACATGATTACTTATGTAACAGCTTTCACGCATTGGCAATCAGCAGCTGATAAAATGCTGCAGCAGACCCATATTTAAGTCTGAGTAAGTTAAACTTTGAGGGAAGGTTTATAGTTACAAAAAATTAAGTAATCAATAGTCAAGAATTTATCAACAATTATGCATAAATGCGTTGGTGTAGATTGGCAAATTAATGCTTATATTACTGAAAATTTAGAGGTATGCTTACTCTAGGTATACCGAAAAACAGGATTCTTCATGGAAAAAGGGTCACATTCAATACAAAGGTGAGACCTAGTAATGAATGCTGAGTTTTTCTTGATGAAGACTCGTGCGTTTATTTCTCTGAAATTTGCAATTTTAATGGTTGAGAGTGATTTTATGGGCTCATGCGTAGGAGCTTTAGACCTTTTGGTGGCAACGATGCTTAGTCAACGTCTTTCAAGATCAATGATGTAATCGAAAGGATGTATTGCATGCAAGTTCGAATGTGCTGGGAGCCTGAGACGATTCACCTTAATGCTATTAAAATCAAGGGATAGATTACTTCCTTATACCTATAAAATGGTCTGGAAAGTAGAGACTAGGGCCTAAATCTTGCTGGGTTCACAATCGATCAGACGTTGCACAACCTAACCTCTAACTTGTTGTTAACTTCCACTATCGGTCTAAAAATTTCATTCTGGACTCAAGCAAAATGCAAGATGAGCTTTCTTCTTAGCAGGCTTGAGCTTACATTAGTTCTTGAATGGAGCAAACCATTGATCAGCAATCAAATCACAAAATTAACATCTTGCTGCAACTTTAAGGCATACGTAAACTGGCTGATGAGATTTGGGCCTTGAATAGCACAAGGGGTAACACAAAGAGATAATAAGGCAATGCAAATAATACCATTCTTCGGAGGATGCGATTTGCCAACCACTTTGAAACAATCTGCATGTTTAGAGTTGCTTCTTCTGGAGTAGTTTGTTACAATAAACTTTTGCACATGATGCTGACATTTCAGCAACCTGTTTGACGAAAGCATCTGGAAATTGGAGGGAAAATCACGAAATGAGTGAGATTTCAGGATGAACTAACAAAGTAAACATATTGCGTCGTAATCGTTGAAAAGGTCCTGACACAACGACGATGATTATAAATTTAAATTACCTTGAACTTACATGCAAAACTTCACACAATCGACATAGCTTCTTATCAATGAAAATGTGGGGGAAACTAATTGATAATACTTATCATTTTAAGTGGGACGTGATAAAGAGTATGAAAACACAAAATAATCACCTAAGTAAATGTTTTGACACAAATTGCGAATTGTCAAAGTACTTCTGTCGATGTCATTCGTTCGAACACCTACGTATGAACTTTCATGAGGTTAGGTACTTTCCCCCTTTCTTGATTCGGGGACTACGGACTAATATGGGGAGGGGGTAGGGTGAAGTGGCAAGCGGACGTGATCTTCGTCACAAATGCGTCACAACTTCAATGTAAAAACATCGTATTTTTTAAATTAATTTTATATTTATTAAAAAAATATTCTTATCAAGTTCTTGTCAATAATCAGAATATAGACCTTTCTTCTTACGGTTTTGAAAGAGAACTAATTAAAACTTTTAGCTATATCAAGAGATGTTTCCTATTCCGTCCTCAGTCCACAAAAAATAATCTATCCTTCGAAGCAATAAGGTTCGCGATCCTTTCTTAAAAAAAAAAAACGTACCTAAGAGCAGGAATTTTAGATTGCTGCTGCTAATTAAATATTTTCTTCTCGATTTTCATTGAAATTAAAATTACCAAATTATTATCAGATCTGCAAACTCCAAAAATAGTCATTGACACAATTATCTAAGCAAAGAAAACTAGATTTTGGTGGCAATGAAGATAAAAATACAACCACCAATTACTTACAAACCAAACCACTGAACCTTTTCTAGAATTTAACCATAAGTAAAAGCTTCTTGAGAAACAAGTCTTCTCTGAATTATTCAAGCCTTGAAAAAAGAGGGTAAAAAAAATTACTCATCCCAATAAGAATTTCAACAATTTTGTTCTTATCATTTTTAAAAACTACTCTTGCATTTATTTGAATATTTTACTAAGTTATGTTTTAAGGTTGGATTTAAAGTACCCATCAGCACCAAAAACATTGAATCAATCGGAACACTAACACTAGGTACAACTCCTTCCTCTCTCTAGGCATCTCTCGACTCTAACACAACAATTTCTCTTGTGTCATGGTTATATTTTCCTGAAAATGATTTTTTATTTCAATTTTACACCATACCTACCTACATGTACCTCATCCAGTCCAGAAACAGACTTTACAAATTTCATTGAGGTGACGTTTCTAAGTTGCTTAGATGTTGTCTCTAGTCTTAGTGCGATGACCTTCTCCAATTTGTATATAATTTAAGTAATTAAGTGTACCCAGATTAAAATGAATGGGAAGAGAGATTTACAAACAGAAATTTCAAAAACAAATCATATTTATTATACATTATTTTAAGTATGTGACCATTGTGGTCCACTACTCAAGTTTCAAAATGTGTAAAGTAAAGACAGATTGAAAACTCTAGCTTGATCGAATGTGTTTTCCTCCAGATTAAAAAATTTGCCTGCACATCACAAATAATACTGAAAACAGTCCATCTGAAGAACAATGATTTGAAGTCTGATTATGAGAACCATGAGAAAACGTCTTTCATATATTGATAGATTTTCTCATTAATTCTCTGATAAAACTCAATTTTTAACATACTTATACCTAAATATCACAGAGATTACTTTTTATTTCAATGAATCAATAGAGCTTTGGCTTAATCTTTTTAGCTTCATATCAGTTCACTTTTTATTTTATTGTATGCCTATATTAATATTCTGACACTTACTTATACGTATCTTGAATAATTAATATCTTGGGGGATTTGCCTCCAGAACGCGTGCTCCCAAACCCGCCATTCCTGAAGACTGGCATGGATTATGCTGGGCCATTCAAAGTGAAGATCCATCAGCTCCGCTCTGCGCGCGTTGTAAATGTCTATCTATGCATCTTCGTCTGTTTGTGTGTGAAGGCTGTTCACATTGAAGTCGTCCACGATCTCACGACGGTTGCGTTCCTCGCAGCGCTTAGCCGCTTCATCGCCCGACGTGGATGTCCGAGTGACCTTTTCAGCGATTGTGGAACTCAGTTCGTAGGAGCCAAGAACGCCTTGTACCGCCTCATGCATCCGAAGAACCCGCAGCTGCTACAGTACGCGTATGACGCAGGTATAAACTTCCATTTCAATCCTCCCGCCGCGCCCCATCAAGGAGGCATATGGGAAAGCGCTGTCAAGAGCGCGAAGTTTCACCTAGCTCGCGCCGCGCAGTCCACCACGCTAGTCTTGGAGGAATTCCAAACGCTGAGTCAACGCATCGAAGCCATGCTCAACTCACGCCCGCTTACCCCGCTATCCTCGGACCCGTTGGATTTAGCTGCCCTTACGCCAGGGCACTTCCTGATCGGAAGACCGCTCGCCGCACCGCCAGAGACCCGCTATGAAGACAAGGATCTCACTTATCTGCACCGTTGGAACCTCACGCAGGCCCTCGCCCAGCAGATATGGAGACGCTGGAGCACCGAGTACTTGTGTTCTCTGCAACCGCGGAAGAAGTGGACCGACGTAACCCCTTCCTTGGAAGTCGGATCCTTGGTCTTAATCCATGATCCACACGCGCCGCCATTAGCCTGGAGATTGGGTCGGGTCTCCGCAGTATTCCCAGGTGCCGACAACCATGTCCGTGTGGCTGAGGTCACCACCGCCACCGGGGAGTACAAACGACCGGTACACAAGCTGTACCCGTTGCCGGTCGCTATGTAAGGTTTTTAACATAAATTTTGGTCCTTCCGCGTGTGTTTCAGGTCTAATGGCTCTCCGATTGGACTGCTCAGATATTGAGGATCGGGAGGACTCACCCCGCCGCGACAACCGCCGCGTCAACCGCCGCCGCCCACGCAGCACCAAGGCCGCAGACTACTATAGGTTCTGCGAGCCCCTGCCTGAGACCGACGATCCCGAACTGTTTCAAGAACAGTTCGATGATTGGCAACATCGACGAAGATGCCACCTTGAGCGCGCATCCGCCCTCGCTTTCGAAGAACGGCGTCGCCAAGAACCCGCCGCCACCGCCGCCGACCGCCGACGACGTCACCAGCGCAAAGAGCGCGCAGAGGAGCGACGTCGCCACCGTTCTGATGTTGTTGATGAACGTCGTGTTGTTATTGACACTTCCCGCTCGAGGCAGCCACACCATGTCCGGTCGCGCACCCTACGGTGCGTCTGGTGCTTTCACGAGCACATTTCGCTGTCGTGCCCCGAGCTCCTGGCCTTGGCCCCGGCGGAGCGACTCCAACTTGTGGAGTCCCACGACCGTTGCTCCAATTGCCTGGGGACGCATCTGGCAAGCCGATGCCAATGTCCGAAGAAATGACGGTTTTGCCGAGAACGGCACCATTCAATTCTACACCACGCCTTCCCCACGGTAGAACCTCGTGCCACGACCCTCTTGACTCGGCAGTCAACCCAGAGTTCTTCCGCTCCCGAAAGGAGCCGGCCGGCGCAGTCCGTGCGCTTCGCCGACCCCATCGCTTCAGTTGTGGATGACCTGGAAAACGACGTTGAGGTGCCGGTGTTCCAGGCTCGCCTCTTGTACCGCCGTCAGCGACTGTCCGCCGACTGGGACAAGCCCAGTGCCATCGTGACGCCTGACGCGGTCTACGAGGTCTTGTAGACCCGGTAGACCACCCACGTCTCCGCCAGGCTCAGCCTGCCTTACCGCCGCTCCTTGAGCGCTTTTCCGCAGCTTTTCAAGCTCCCGCTACGTACTTGCACCTTCTTCCGCCCGGGGAGTATGTTCCCGCCACAGCGGATCCACCAGGTATTTGGAAACTCGGAAGTTTCCCCCGCAATACGCACACGGACAACACGCGTTGCACCGCTACGTATTGTCTCTCTCCGCGGCGTTTGTTCCTAGCGAACTTCGCCCGACCGCCGCCTGAGGGCGCTCCGCGCACCACGCTGCTCGCGATCAGCTGACCGTGCCGGTCCCTATGTAGGTCACTAGTGCTTGTCTTTTTGTCACGTCCTGCTTGTACGTCGAAGCTGCTTGGAGTTTAGCTGTTCCGCATCCTGAGGATTTCTTTATTAGCATTCTGATTCTTTCGCTTTCTTATTAGCACGTTCTTCCTTTATTAGCTGTACTGCACGGTAAGCTGCATTTTTCTTTTGTCACTACCGCCTCCTTTGCCACCGCATGTGGAGACCTCGGCCTTGGAGCCCACCGCTGTCCAGAACAACCGCCGCACCGCCGCATAGCTGTCATCTTCCCAAACAAAAGGGTTTTGGGAAGATGATCGGCTGAGCGCCACCACGTTTTAGGTTCGAGGGGATTCAGTTTTCGGAGAGAGAGATGAGACACACCTATATACAGTCCACTCATATTTTTTAGCTCAGCCCTGACGCTCCAATTAATATATGTCAGAATTTCTGCTTAGCACACGAATTTATGTAGCAGATGAATCCAGTTTAGTTGCTGGAGCACTTCTGGCAAATTGCACAACCATTGGTTTGTCTTTTAAAATGTATCCATTTGTTTCTTCCAGAGCTTTCTTAGTTTGTTCCACAGTTTGCAATGTGACAAATGCTTGCCCTTTCATTCTGCCTTCTTGCATTAAACGAACGTCAAACCTGAAATAACAGAATCAGAAAGAAATCAAATTAAACCTTGGTAGCCAGTCATAATTGGACGGAGTTAAACAGAAAGGAACCAAGCCACATCGGGATCGAACCGAGAAAAAGAGGTTTAAAGTTTGGCTCCTGCATAAGACTCAATGTAAAACATAAACTTCAAGTTCAATTTCTGCAAAATTTGCTCCAACAAAAACTTTAAATTTTTGGCGATAGATAGTAGAGCAGTGGCTGAGTTCAAAACCACTCATAACTCATTTTTTTCCAAAATGTGGGTTGGTTCCTTTCTGCTTAACTCAGTCCAATTAGAGTAGAAAAGTTGAAACAATTCTTTGGTATACATACCTAACTTTTAAAAGTGCTGGAAACTGAAATTTTGGTGTTACTGTGCCTGTTGGCCCAATCGAATCAGTATTGTCTTAAATTGTTATTGATCTAATGATCCTGTGGGGAGACTTCGACAATGATAGGACGGATAGGGCTTCATTCGCACAACATTGGATTTTTTCCTTTTTTTATATTTTACTCATTTGATAAGATAAAGCTCTAAATACAATGAACACTCAGCCTGAAAGATTGACTTAGCTGACAACAAGTTTAGCAAAATAAAAACTCTGAAGCAAGGTTCCTCATCGCACCAGGTTCCTCTTTGCTGAGAATCATATAAATAAACTTGATTTGTGAATACTTACATTGTGCCTTGCTCTTCATGATATTTGAGAAAGTACCGCCTGTAAATGTGATGTAAATCTGCAGGCGTAACTTTTTTTGCTAAATTTTTAATATACAATCGGCATGATGGAATTCCTGGCGAGTAGTTTTTGAATACCGGTAGATTGGATAGATCTAGAGCAACACAAACAAAGTACATGTAAGAAAAATAAGATGCAATTTTTACCGGACAAATGTAGTCAAAATGATAAGAGAAAAAAATAAATGGAAAGCAATACGAAATATTTGAAGCAAAGAAAAAAAAGTAGGAGCAAATATGGAGCTGAAGTCTCTTTTCCTCATTTTTTTAAAACATCTGAAAAATATGAAAAAATGCTTCTTATACCGGAATACAATGATTCGTTATTTGTATGCAAAAAAGGCAAAAGTTGGTTTCAATTTTTTTTAATAAGGTAGTATTTCTTCATAAATGAAAGTTGCACAATCAAATCAGGTATCTTATTGATAGGTTCACATGGAAATGAAGAGTTCTGATCGATGCTCAAACAGAATCCATAGCATGACCTAATCAATTGGCTGCTTCATTTGACCTCACGATGAGGGCTGTACATAGAAATTGATAAAGCGGATCGGTGAGGACTGCAGGACTGTATGGGACTGCAAAATAACAGCCATGTCTGGTGAAAATAATTAGGAGCTGTCGATTTTTCCCAGAAATCAAGAAAGATTTTAGGATAAACCATTTGATCAATTAATCCAGTGTAGATACCCTAAGAAAAATACTGGATCAAAATCTACTCCGACTCTGCAATGAAGATTTGAATAATTAGAGAGATAGACAGTCCAAAAACTGAATGGTTCATGGAAACTGCCGCTTAAACTGCAGGAGTGTTCATAAGTTCGACATTAGACTTAAAAATAAAAACAGAGACATTTCTTGCAAACTTGGTCGTAGAATTGGTTTAATAAATGAAACTAATAAAAGATTTCAGGACCTTGAGAAAGCTCCACTGCTGGGAAACAAGTTACTTACCCTTTTTAGATAAACGATTTGCAGCAAGTTCTTTGGCAGTTATACAAGGGTAGTCATCTGCAAGTGTCTTTTCCTCATTTTCAGTTCGAGAAGAAACTGGTGGTTCTGCATCTACCTGGCTGGTAACATTGAGAACTCCAAACCCGCCCTCTTCAGTTAAAAGCTCAGTTTCGTTTCTTGCTATTGAGTTCAAATCAGGGGTGGTCAATTTCACTTGGATTGTCTTTTGCCCAGGCTCAAGATTTGATTTCTCAAATACATTTTCTGTCTCCAGCTTCCTCCGCTTGGATGGAGATGTTTTTTCCACTCGCTTTGATTTAAGAACCTTCAAAGGATTTAATTTCATTGCTTTTTTGGGTTTGGATTTGATATCTGGGATAACAACCTTGAGCTGTGTATGTACATCTTCATCACTTTCTATCTCTGATTCTTCATCGTTTGAGTTTTCAGGAACTCCTGGGTTATCTGCAATTATGTTCGTCTCATTGGAAGGTTTTTTAATTTCAAAAAGGTTATCACAGATGATGGGGAAGTCTGGTTCAAATGGAGAAGGAAGGTTCATTTTATTCATCAAATGCAGCACCTTTGAAAAATAATAAAATCAAATTAATGAAAACTGAGTATTACAAAAATTGAGGTCTGCATCTGTAAAAATGCGGTAGAATATGGCACAATTTCAGCCATGTATTTTGAGCTGCTGAGTTCGATGCCAATGACTATGCTATGGAAGACAAACCTCTTCTAATCAAATAATTGCAATTTAAAAGTTTATAAGTCACTTTTCGAACAGATTAGAAATTAGATGTGGAACAGTGATGAAATTTTAAACTTTACTGCTCAATCAATTGAAAAAAAGAAGATATATAAACATAAAAAATTCAAAAAGTTTTCTTGCTGTTTAAGTAACTTCTAGTTTATACATTTCATTCCGTAACACATCACCTAAAATATTGCAACTTTACAGCACTTATTCATAGAATAAAATAATGGTGAAACCTTGAAAACTTCTTAGTGCTGAATATAGCATATCCTTGGAAACTGATATTTACACTTAGAGCAATGAAAAGTCATCATGCCAGAAAAGAAACCTATTCAATTGGTACAGTATACACTTCTGATATTTACCTGTGTGTAAAATTTGGGGACTGCAGCCAATGTCTTTGCTATATTTTCCAGAACCTCAGGGGAGGGCGGAGGATACTGATATCTGAGATGACATGGTGGTGGTACTTTAAAATTCACCCCAGACAACCAGTTATTCATAGAATTTAGAAATCTCTGAACAGATTTTGAAGTCGGTTCTGGTACATGCTTGGACTTTTCCTTTACACCGGTTTCCAGGGAACTTGAAAAATTGAAACAGATTCATTAAATAGTAGGAGAAATCTTTGAACATCTTCAACAGTTCAATACAAGAGTGCAGAAAATACTTGATTTCAAAATTTATCTTTCACTCAATCGTTATTTGAGTTTTCTGCCTTGTCCCCGTAATTGCTTTTGCTTTCCTTCAAATAAAATTCTCAACAAAGTTTTATAAAAAATATTTTTAATTTCATTTTACTTTTTTTCCAGATGTATTTTTCAAAAAAAAATTTATACATAAACCAAACATTTGAAAATGGTGATAATATAACATTCCTGAAACAACGTTATGCTATTTTTGCATCTGATGCAGTCATCTGAATTTTTATAACAACCATATTATTCTAAGTGACAGTTTTGTCGAGGTGACAAGATTATCGAGTCGGGTGGCTTAAAGTGTCAAGCTCATGAAACAATACCTGGTCTTGTTATGAGAACAAACAGGTGTTGTTCCTTGAACATAAGTTCGTCACCTTCTAGGCAAAGTATCACAAGCGCCATGCGACGTTTAAAAATTTCCGCCGCCATTTTATTTTTTTACAGAGAAATTTTTCAACGAAGCTGTCCGAAAATTTCACTGAATTTTCTTTGTGCTGCCGATAAAATTTAGTGAAATCTCCAAACAGATTCAACCAACAATTTCTCAGTGAAGAAATAAAATGGCGGCGGAAATTTTTAAACGTCGCATGGCGCTTGTGATACTTTGCCTGGAAGGTGACGAGTTGTTCAGTGAACTAGGATTTTGGTTTCTGTGCGCAGCCAGACAGATTAAACAGGCTCTTAATGTATCCACTGCAAAATTATTTTTTTCCATGAAGTATGAAATAGAAAAAAATAATATCATGGTTTACATACCATTTTTCTTCATCAACAGGAAAACTAGTTTCAGTCTTGGCAAACTCAGCAGACAGTCTGCTTGAACCGAGTTTTGTTTGGTGTATCTTTTGTAGTACAGCTGCTGCATGATATTTGCTGGGAAATCTGATCACAAATATTCACAAATTAAATACATAAAAACCACCCCTAATTAACTTTTTTAAAAAACATATTTGCTGAACTGGTTGGTGATATTTTTTCAAGAGATTAAAAATGATTAAATTATTTAGAGGAGTTGAAATTCAACAATTGAGGACACCGCACCAAGAACAACCTATAGGCGTATAGGTCGTTATTACGCCAATCTGCTTTTCGTATTCTACGTACCCTGGACTATGCTGTGGTAGCGATAGAATATAGATAGGTAACGTCTCGAGGTCGAAAAACCTTTTTTTTCCGAGGCAAGTCAGGCCTCTGGATCGATGGGTGCAAGAACGACCTATACGCGCGGCCTTATCATTCTCGGTTAGCGGGCATCGGCGCGGCGCGGCGATAGTGATGGCTCGATTTTTTGATCTCATTTTATAAAGATTTGTTTTTATTTCAGGAAAACGAGCTATTGAAATAATTTATTCTCCTCTCAAACTATCCTTTCCTCCAAAAATGTATACTTCGCATTTTGCCACCAAAATGACTGTTGGGCGTAATATGGGCCTATAAATTTAAGGGCCTATAATGTGCTAGTTACCCCTCTCTATACTCACCATCGATATTTTTTTATTTTGCGTTAATCATGCGTGATTAAAATGATTTATACTGCATATTGCCACCAAAATGACTGTTGGACGTAATAACGACCTATAAACCGCTTTTTTAAATTAACTATATTAGAGTGTAAACCCAAAATGTATCGCAAAATCTACCCGGCATCCTTCAGTAGAAGGGTTAGGTCACCCAAAAACACCAAAACAGGGTACCTGCATAGAAAAGTCTGCGCAGTACATCAAAAACAAAACTTTAAATGCGTTTTTCTCAAAACGCGGTTTCCAGTTATAGGTTGTTCTTGGTGCAATGTCCTCAATTGAGGTAAGCTCAAAATGGCCCTTGCAATACCACTCCATTGCCAAGCTTCCTAAATATATTCCAATTTGAGTTCACTGCCAAAATTGGTAGGGCGTTTGATTGACTTAGAGATGAGATAATTTAAAGGTACCAAATTTTGCAATGTATCCACCAGGAACCTAACAATTAGATTCTGCTCTTCTGTCATCCCCCTGACCATACTTTTTCTTTGTAAACTTTCAAACCTGATTTCCTTAATTAGTGCTCATTTTGTCCTAATCACAAACAATAGAATTATATGGTAAATTTCAGATCTCTTTCAAAAACTTATAAGTTACAAAGCTACCAAGTTACCTCTTAATGATAAACCCACTTAAAGTTCCTCAACTGTTTGCTATTGCTCTACCACAGTTCAATTTTAGAGAATAAAAGGATTTCTTCATCTTGAAAGATGCAAATCTCATCTTTCACTATTGTTAAATAGATGAAGGTCATTTGAGTTGATTAATCAAAATAAAGTTGCAAAAATTACTAGGTTTTTTTAGGTAAAAGAAGCTGTAAGATAAGTACCTGGCAATAATGGAAGCATTCTTTTTAGTTCGAGACTTCAGAATTCGGATTTCATTTGCGCCAAAATAGTGAAAGAAGTCTCTTTTAGAGTCATCTTCCAATTCATTTGAAAAGTTGCGGACGATTAAGGTGTCACTTGGAGGAGTAGTACTGTCCATAGCCTATGAAAAAAGAAAAAAAAATGAAAAGATTATTCCCCTTGCTTAAATCAAATAGAATTAAATTGTTAAACAGTTTGCTATGTTGCACCAAGTACTTGCATACTTTTTGCATTCAGACGTGGATACAAATATTATTAATATTCTTTTAATATTAATTAACATTAAGATTCAAATAAAGTATGTTTAGGGTGGCCAAACACAGAATAATTTTGAAGTGTCATTGGCTGCATGACGAACCTACATTGATCTATTTCCTGTAGTGTTAGATATCGGACACTTTGCAAATTTTCCCAATATTTTGGTTAAAATGAAATTGAAATTAGGTTGAGTCTAGCATATGACCAAAATGAGATGCATAGGTACCTATTTGAGTTAGTTTTTCTAAAATCTTGCTCTCATTGTAAATTGGAGCAAAAAATAAACCAGAAACATTATAAGAGGCACATTACAGGTATCTACCTTCAAAAAGTACTCTACTTCAGAAGTGGTAAAGGATGTTAAAAATAACTTGAGTGAAAAATTCATAATTGTAAAACATATTTTGGGCTCGGATAATTTTGGCTTTCATTTTCCGTTTCTAAAATAGATTTTACAGAAATTTATTGATTTGAATTTACTGGAATTTACTCCCAGCCTTAATAAAATGCCTTCATTAAGTGAAGAAGATTGAAAGCAAATTCAGAATTTCAGCAAAATGTTTTTGATACTTCTACCTTTGTTTATTTCTGGAAGAGATTCACTTTAGCTTGGTGGAGTTTCTCACTAGTCCGCAGTGCTCAGTTGTGTCATGCTCATTGAGTTTTGCGGTAAGTGCTTCACTATAGATTCTTGAGTTTTTCATGAATAGAACAATTCAGCAAGGGCCTATTTGCGGGATGAATGTATACCAAATCCTGAAGCATCTGTCCTGAGGAAACAAAACAAAGGAGCGAAGGATAATTGCTTTATTCCAAACAATGCATCAGAAAAAATCACAAGATCTAGAGTACAGTCCTTTGCATCAGAAAACAAGGAAAACTATCTATAAGTTCAATGCTTTCTTCATTGTTTAGCATGCATTTTCACAATCTCCATTTCAGTGATGATATCATCATGGCTGAAAGCGCAGGCATAAAGCTCATCTCGTCACCTTCCGGCCAAAGTATTACTTACATGCATCATGCGATGTTCAAAAATTTCTGCCGCCATTTTATTTTTTTACAGAGAAATCGTTGGTTGTGCAGAACTTTAGAATCCGACTCCTCCCGCAGTGAACACTCCCCAGGTCTACCAACTGAGTGGGAATTGAACTAATATGGCCAGTTTCACCGTTGGTTGTATCTATTTGGAACTTTCACTGAATTTTCTCAGCAGCACAAAGAAAATTCAGTGAAATTTTTCGACAGCTTCGTTGAAAAATTTCTCTGTAAAAAAATGAAATAGGGACGGAAATTTTGGAACGTCGTACGGCGTGTGATACTTTGGCCAGAAGGTGACGATCTGTATCGGCTTTCCTCAGCACTCACAATGTACCTACAGCACCAAGAGTAATACTGAGTGCATGTTTGCACAACATACAGAGCATATATATGCTTTTGAAGACCCATAATTAATGTGAGCAGAGGATATTTGCTTGCACAAGGGAGAAAACACAAAATCTATCCATGCAATACATCCATGTATCTAACCTCATCATCACCGTGCAGCAGAAGAAGGAAATAATGAATCGAGCGACCAACCAAATGCTCTATTTATTCCGATTTCAAAGTAGTTTCTTCAAAATATAAATCAATAAGGAATAATTATGAGTAAAATAACTACTCACAAGATGTCACAAGGCACAAATTCACAAATGCACATGCTTCTCTTTTGAACTTGGTTTGTTATTGTTACTTAACTGAAGTGAGCTACATAGTCACAGAATATATAGGCTTCAGGAGGCTTCATAGGCTGGTGAAGCCAGGTGAAGCCTATATATTCTGTGACATAGTTACCTACAAAGTTGATGTCCGATATTTTCGGAACAGGTAGTATTCTAAAAGATCCGGAAAAGATCCGGAACAATCTTAAAACAGCGGAAATCGTTCCGGGATCGATTTTCACGGTTTATTAAACCCTTTTGGAGTCTTCCGTATTAATGAATCGCAGATATTATCTTTTCAGAGCCGATTGGCAGAAAGGATAGCCCGAGGAGAGGCCCGTCGCGATCAGATGATGGCCAGGGAGAGGTGCATAATGCATTAAGGATGCGGGAAAAGCGGGGGAGTGTTAGGGAGGGGGAGGGAAAGGATGGAGGGAGGGGAGTGGGGAGGTAGGCTAAAGGGGCGG